TGAAAGTCAAGGCACAACTATTTTATCTACTTTTTTCAGGCTCTGAAAATCGATTATCTGCTGCATGATTCCAAATGGTATGAAATAGATATGATTCGATTTAAGAAGTGTTTAACTGTTATTATAAGCAGAGTTCAAAAACCTATTGTATTCAGCGATTATGGATTGATCAACATAAACCTCAACATATATGTTTTAGTAAGGTTTCATAAGAAGATTACATATTGTTTTAAATGATATGTATGTTTCAGATTTGTAAAACTGTATTCAGTTTCTACACATATCTAAACTCAGTCAAAAAACTGTCAACGAAATAATAGTAACTGGACTAAAAGTAAAAAATTTAATTATTATTTAGTCAGTTTCTCATTATTTAGCCAAGTTTAAGTTATGTTTCGCTTGTTGTGTAAGTAATTAGGAGGAGCCAAATGGTATTACGGTAACTGCTGTACAGGACATACTATTAGTTATGGAATTTAGGGTCTTCTAAAATTAAAATAACGCAGATTATTGGAACGAAGTTCCTTACGGCAGGCTTGGAGGAGATAGGAATTTTGCTGCACGACCGAACTCAAACAAATGTGATCCTAAAACCGTAACGAAAACTCCGTGGAATAAAACCGTTAAATGATACGTGCGCAGGCGCGACCAGAGGTGGTGCGAGCCGCACTTCAGACGGCGGCCGCCTTACAAGTGTAGGTAAGCAGAGAAAAAATGTTGTGCCTCGGTGGGATTCGAATCCACGTTTCCTTGCTCTCCGGGCAGGTATGCTGACCACTACACCACGAAACGACTTATTTATACTCTGCTTACCGACCTGTTATTGTGCCGCCACACAAGATTGAAGGTCCGCACACGTGCAGCTGCCTTACAAAGACACCGCCAACACGTGGAGACCGCACCGACAAAATATAAAAAATGTCCTAAACACTTTTCGTTCTCTCATCCCTTCTCTCTCTATTACCACTCCACCCCACCAATGCATAGTATATACTCATGAATTCATGGACAAGCACGTGGCGAATACGCACATTATAGATACAATATCTGGTTGACCGAGTTTCACTCGGCTCGTTTGGTAGTATTAGATCAGATTAGGACAGATAAATATGCGTATAGTATGCATTTTGAAGTACACGCGCTACTTAAAAATACACATTAAAAAAGAAATTCCATAAGCAGTCTTTGTTTTAAACACTGATAAGTGACATGTAGAGATTAAAGAACAGAAAACTGGAATTATTGTTTGACATCTCATTTGTTACCCAAGTTTTCTCTCTGTCGTTTTTTTTTCCTAGTTCTCTCTCTCGACTCTAGAAAAAGGTCACAACCACATTCTTACTGCCAGAAGAGTTTCGCCTCTGGTGTGGTTAACATACTGAGTTACCGTGCTCTTTTGTGTTATTCCTAATTTCTCAATCTCAACCCTGCTCCCGAAGATGCCATTTACGAAAGTGTGCGAAACGTTGAGCCCAAAAACTCAAATAACACGGTCCCATCCCCGAAAACTATCACATGTTGACACTGACCGTGGAACCTCTGAAATGAATGCTTGACAAAATAATCTCAATTCAACACACTTTCGTGTGCCTTTTATCCGCTCACTGTTTAGTTTTTGGTAAATTTTCTCACCTCAGGAGGTGAATTTCAACGTCCTCTATACAGTGGAGTATGTTTCGGTACGTACAATTGAAGATAAAAAGGTACGTCAAACGTACTGTCAGACTGTCACCCAAACTTCTCATATAAAACAATCTCGTGTTCGTGTAGTGTCATCTGATGTTGCCTAGCAACAAATATAATTCACTGCCTGAAAATTGCTGAAAATGCATGAAGCTGTAATTTTCAGAAGTTAAAACTATGATCAATCGATTTCTTGACCCAAAAAATCCCTAACCTGTAAATTTCATAATACATCGTTAGAGCCGTTTTCGAGAAACCCATTACATATATATATACAAACTTTGCTCGTTTAATAGTATTATTAGATTTTACTCGTGAGTAGCCACGTTTATTTTCATACAATTTCAAATCGTCAAAACAATAATAAATATAGTAAGAATGGCAAAGCAGAGTATCAAAAAGCGTATAGGGAACGCGAAAAACCTAAAAAAAATGAAAATAAGCAAGAAAGTTACGATATAAAGCAAAGCTATCCTCTAAACTAGTGACAATATTTAAAAAGTTTATTGATTATTTTTTTAAATAATTAAAACAAATTCTCCCTTCAATTCCAAACATTTAAATATATATATATTTTGATAATTCTACCTATTTTACGTAATTTATTATTTCCTAAAATACTGAATTTCCTAAATATTTTCCTGTACTTAAGTAAAAACTAATCAGCAAAATTTAAGAGAAAAATCAAGAAAACCTACATAAAATTGAGCACGTTTTTTTTTGCAAATTGTGTCGATTCTACATTAACCGAAGGAACTTCCTTCCTACCTGGTGTCCCACGACACCACATTTTCTTTTTTTTATTATTAAATGCACAGGTAAGAGCAAAAATGTTACAGTGCACCACACATAAAGTAATATAATTTCAAAAACTTGTGTAAATTTTAATACTGTTGCCTTTATAAAAGTAAATCTTTAAATACATTGGGAGTTTTCGACATGATGCACCTGCAATATGCGGAATCGACTTATTTTGCGAAAAGGAGACCGATGGGTATACTTTCCACATTCTGGCATTGATTGTAAGCATTGTCTCACCTTGAAAAACACATAAACGTAAACAACATAGTTTTTTTACTGTTACATCTGACATGCATCTTCCGTACATGCTAACGCGTATACAATAAAAATATGTTTGGGACAGGTCTTGGTATTATTAATTGCAGTTTATTTCGTAACCAACCAAAATATTTGGTGATTTTGAAGTCACTGATAGGTAATTACTTACTTATTTTGAAAATTTCTTCAAAGTCTGAATTCTACTGAAGATGTAACATTTGTGTACTCCAACAAAATATCAGTTTAACAAAACCGTTCTTCCGTTCGGCATTGGCTACACAGTTCCGATTTGAAAATCAATCCCAGCAAAATTACAAGCGAAAGGTAGAGTTTACCACATAACGATGGATAGGACACTTTTTCAAAATTGAGTGGTTAATCATGTTATTCCTTCTTTGAACAAGTTGTTACCCTTCGGTCTAGTTGGACAAATTATCCACATTTTCTGTCAGAAAAAGTCAAATGCAAGAGTGGTTGGGCAATCACAGTAATAATAATAATGAGTCGCCCATCATCGCCGCACATGCTAGAAAACCCATAGGCGTCGTACTGGCGCGACGTTATTTCATAACACTGCCTCCTCCATAGATCTAATAGTCCCGATCAGAAACTGTCGTACTTTATGAGGCGGTTTCATTTTCGTCTTCGGCTCTTGTCGAATACTGTAAACGACATCAGTGATCCTTGTCACGACAGTATATGGGCCTTCTCAGTCTGGTGACAACTTCGGACGACGACCATTTCTTTTTCGGGGGATATAAAACCATGCCAAACCTCCTGCTTGGAACCCTACTGAGTTTTCCCTAAGATCGTAACGTGTCTTCATTCTATCACTCGCCACTCTATTCTTGTTATGCAGCATTTTGTGAACGCTCGGCAGCTTCTCCTGTAAGCCATAAGCCATCGTGGTAGCCTTTGACATTCTTTCTGTACTTGCTCCCTTTTTCGGTCACTGGGTGGTGACCCGCTATGTCTCCTGCAGTTCTTCCAAAAGGCGCACCAACTTTCTGTGGTTGCAGCGGCACTATCGACTTAATCTTAGGTCTTTTAACCGCCGCACAGGTCCTATAATTTTTGCACCAGCTCTCGACGTGTTCCCGGTAACGTACCCAGTAGAATCTCTCCCTGACCTTGGAAAGCTTCTTGCTGATTGCCAAATGGGCACTAGAACCTCCGTCGTGCATTTCTTGAAGTTCTTCTTCGATTGTAATAGCCGTAACCACCAACTGCAAAGTGACATGCATTCCATCCGGACTTTCCCAGGCTCGCTTAGGAAATCCGTTCTCGACACGCAAAGAATTCCATTGAGCCAATAACGCCTTGAAAAAAGGTGCTTCGTCCGACCAGCCAGGTCGTTCTATCCCATCTTCTTTCCATCTGAGGAGCGCCCCAATATCCTTGTCTTCCTCTTGGTCCTTTCTACACCGAGCTGTAGTCCATTCATCATCTCCTACGACTGCTTTCTTCTTACGGTTGAACTGTGCTTTGGGCTGCTCAACCTCGTCGCAGTGTTTGTAGTTCTGATAAGCGATCAATCTTGCAGGCTTCCCTTCAATACAGCGCTGATTCAGCTTGAATTCTTTATTTCCAAGACGTAGGACTTCCTTTACTGGATCAATTGTCAATCCATGGCGGCTAATCAAATCCATTCCCAAAATGAAGTCATCTTCCCTGTTAGCCACGAGTGCCCGATGTCTGATTCTCAGCTGACCAATACGGACTTCTACCGATGTTTCGCCCATAATTGACGCCGACTTTCCAGTTACAGTTTTCAATCTGATCGTTTCGGGTAAAGGTTCTACATCTTCAGTGCTCACGAATCCTTTACGTACAATTGATACCTCAACGCCAGTATCGATGGTGATTGCTGGTGGAATTTCATAAATCTTTCCCGGTATAGTTGAACCATCACCTCTGGTGAAACTTCTTATTTTCACTTCGCTGGCGACCTTATTCGCACCAGCAAGCCCATTTCTGCTGCTTCAACTGCTTCTTGTACGATGACCAAGGCGTCTGACCATCAGGGGTCGGCAGTTGATATGTTCTGTAGGCAGAAAATACATTACAAAGGCCAGTTGTTGCTACATTTTTCATTAACTTTTCAAATTTTTTCATTTAGTACTGATGCTCCATTTGGACCATTTTTCGTCCTACAGTATTTTCCACATTTTCCAAATTTGTGTCTACGTCCTTCATTTCTTCTCTAATTTCTTCTATTTCATTCTTGGTTGCCTCCACATCGTTTTGGAATATTTCAGTTAGGCGATTTGCTTATTTATTTTCACGTCCATTATTTCCATTTTTCCGTTCACTTCTGCTATTGTTGCATTCATTTTGCGATCTTTTGTCTCCATATTTTCGTTCATTTCTTCTATTCTGGCGCCCATTTTTTCATCCATTTCTTTATTTCTTACGTCCATTTTTTTATCCATTTCTTTATTTGTTATGTCTATCTTTTCGTCCAATTTTTCCATTTTTGCGTCTATTTTCTCCTTCATTTCCTTGTTTCTTGCATCCACCTTTTCGTCCATTTTTGCAAGCATAGCCATAATCTTTTCCTCCATTGCTGCAGTTCGAACTCTAGTTTCTTCAGAATTCTTGTCGAATCTGCCCATAGTTCGTCGTAAAACCACTTATTAATGTTAAATCTCACTCCTGGCACCAGTGTTACGATGAAAGGGTGTTTAAAATCGGCGTGGGTAAAACTCAACAATTTATTTCTTACTAACTCGAATTTACACGACTTAACTGCACAGCGATTATATACGAAATCATTCCCGTCCAACGTAACTGGCTTCTCTCAACATTCGCTGGACTCCACTCTTCTGCTCCCGACGGTGGTTTTCATTTAAACAGCGATCATTCTCGAAACGCCTCCGTCACCGCTTCTAGACTTGTCTGGAGCACCCATTCACGACTTCCGCTTCCAGACTCTTCTCCAGCCGCCATCACCGACAATGAGTCGTCATGGCCGTACATGCTAGAACCCATAGGCGTAGTACCGGGCCGGCGTATGGTTTTTTTTCGTAACAATATTATCAACAAAAGTTTATTATTATATTTAGTCGTTAAAAAACACAAGATAATAGCATGCCCAATCAAATTATATAAAACTCTCTTGATCAAATATATTGTGAAAACGTGACACTTTAGAAACCAGAAGTGGTTGAAATTTCTACCATAACGGTTTTCTAATATAAAATGTAACACAAAGCTCCAAATTCTTCTAATTCAGCTCCATTTAGTCTCACTGAAAAAAAATTGCTCTATTTCTGCACATTATGTAACAATGCAAACATTGTTTCCGAGATAAGAAAAAGGACTAAGTTAACACTGGGTCCCCTTATAATTTAACACTTCAAAATCTAGCTCTGGACGGTTTATAGCTAGATCTATACCTAACCATATACATATATCCAAAGCTGTCTCTTGTTAATTATAATATAATTTGACAACTAAAACCATAAATATATCATATTAGTTAAACAAAATTTGTATACAGGTTTTAATGTGTTCGCTTCAGTAAGTGTTATTATATAAAATAAGCAATAACACAACTGAAGCAACACTTTGATGTCATCAGGTTTTATGAAAGAAGAGGAATTTCGTTTTTCAACTTTGAGGAGTAAATGTGATTTCATTCAAAACACTTCTAAAATTTGCACTGACCCTATAATTAAAAGACTGTTGGCATAGTTGGGCTAATATTCTACAAATTCCTATACGTAAGTGCAAATTTAAAACGCCACCATAATTATTTTAGTAATAATACTCTCTTCCATCTATGGTGAGAGTTTTAACAAACTCAAGCACTTGAAATTAATTTTTCGATTGAGTCCTCTTGTTTATGCACTTATTTCCATAGGAGCGATTATGTAGCCACATATTCCTTCGTCAGTTACGATATTTAACAAAATTATTGTTGATTGTTATCCATTATCGATGTTTGTTTGTTGCTGCCCTTACATCGGAACCTGAACATTACGAATAAATTGCATCTTACAATAATTATATAACGTGAACTACTGTGCCTAACTTTCCTTTTTTAAATATTATTTATATCGAGAATAATATCAGGTAACGTTACATATAATAAAATGTTTCTAATTCCTAAAGTACCTACGGCCAGCAAGTTCTTATGAATAATGTAAAAGATAAAGGCAAAGGAATTATTTCTATAAAAATTTCTCTGTTTAGCTCGGTCAATAGCTAAGCAACGTTCGTTACATGTGGTTCTTATATGTGACATTGTTTTGTCATTAAATAATTAAAAATAGATTGATTCTATTTAAAATTTAAAAATGTGTTGTTATAACTTTACCGTTGTTTTAAAATTTATGAACTTGCGATAATTATGTGCAAAAGTTGAATTAACTGCGCATGTTTTCGGGCTTGCGAGCTTTCGATTGGTTGTTTCTGTTTGTATTACTTGAAGTATAAAAGAGACGATTTAAATAATATGAGAGTGTTAGTTAAATAATAAGTGCGAAATCTATTAAGTGCTAAGACAGGACGTATTCTTTTCTGGTTGTATGTCACAAACGCTGTAAGGAAATAAAATAAGTTTATATCACTGTTAGGTCAATTGAACAACGTCCCACAATTGAAAAAATCTTTTTGTTTTAATTTACGTAATAAACTCTTGAACTTGAAGAAAATACAAAAGTTAGATCATTCAAATGGCTCGTGATCTTCAGTTGTAATTCTTCCTACTTACTTACGATTTTTCAAATTAACGTCTCTTTTTCAGCCTTTTTAATTCTGACGACATATCTGTAGATCCGGTGAAATTACTCTGGTATTTTTTCCTGCACCCAATTTTTAACTCGAAGTTCTCGTTCCTTTACACTTCTATAAATGTTGGATTATGTTTTTTGTATATAACATTAGCAATAAAAGGGATATTAGTTTCTGACAAGAACGACATATTTTTTATTTCAGAAAATATACAAACTTGTTTCCTAATGGTCCATGTAAGTACGACATACATAAACTATATTAGAACTAAACATGAAATTTTAGACAACTGGAAATGTGTTAAACTTGCATGCCACCAGACAAGATTTGCTAGATCTCCTCAAACAAAAATCTAAGTTTTGGAAAGTTACTAATTTTGATAATAAATTATTACGTGACGAGATTTTAAAAAACAATTATTTGATAAAGAAGTTCTTACGGTCTGCCATCATTGTAGTATTTATTACGGCAGTTTTATTTGATCTGCAACCTTTTATGACAGGAACTTTACCCACAGTTTGCTATGTACCAGACGGATGGTTTCGTTATTTAACCGTTATATTGTGGTATTTATCACTGATTACTTATATTTCTTTGGTAGGAACGGAGTGTCTTTTTTGTGCCCTTTTAATTTCCTTAGATGAACAGTTCCATCTGTTAGCACATAAATTCAAAGACATGTGCAGTTATAGATTTGATAACATTTGGAAGGAATTAGAAGCTCTGGTTGATCACCACAATTTTTTAATAAGGTTTGTAAAAATCATAAACTGTGTTAAATCTAAAGATAAATTATTTCAGAAATTAGCTAAAAATTTACGATTTGTTCCAGGAGTTTTGGCATTTTTCGATAAAACTATTTTCCTAGAAACTAAACAACCAAAATTATTATTCCTTATTCTGATACAATTTTTATTAAAAGCCATAACTGTGCAATACTCTGGAACAAACCTTCAAGTAACTTTTAAAGTTCTAAATATGTTTCAGAAACCACGTTTCCTTTCAGTTATTCCGAAAAATTAAACGCGGCCTTCAGAAATATATTTCTGCTTATCTTTATAATTTCCATATCTTCGGCTTCTGTAGCAGTTTTCATTCTTATGCAACCGTAAGTTTCTTTTTGCTTAATAAAAAGTTCTCAGTTACAGTTTAAGTGTTGTTTTTACAGAGGCGCCTGGGCTAACAGAATTAAATGTGGAATTTATTTTCTTAGTGTTATGCTTGAAATAGGTTTTTACTGCGTTCCTGCCGAAATTGCTACTAACACAGTAAGTGTGAATTAAAAATTTTATTCTAAATTTCAATACACACATACAAGCAAAAAATCAATGTGTCTAATAAGACAGTCTGTTGCTTCAATGGTCAGTTACAAAAATGTGTTAAATATTCAAATTTAATTTTAAAGGTTAACATTCTGGTGTTACATTGTTTCATTTTTTTATCTCTCTTTTATCCTTATTATTTTTTCAGGCTCTCAAACTAGATCGTATTTTATATGACTCTAAGTGGTACGAAATAGATACGATTTCTTTTAAAAAGTGTTTGCCGCTTGTTACAAGCAGAGCCCAAAAACCTGTTGTGTTCAGTAGTTATAGCCTGATATACATGAATCTTAACACATGCGTTTTGGTGAGATCATATTAAAAAAAAAATTTTCTTTATTATGATTTTATATTTCAGATATGTAAAACTATATTCAGTTTCTACACGTATTTAAATTCTGTCAAAAAACTGTAATCCGAATAGTCTTAGCTTCGGCGTGTACTCAGTTCAGTTATACTGCGTTCACTATAACTAATCATGTTTCATAAATTTCACTCAAGGACCATATTTCACAAATGTCAGATAAGAAAAATGAATTGTTATGTTGCATACGGTATAACTGAACTATTACAATTTCAAAGCACAGGAAACTCGTACAGCTGTAAATCACCACAAAGCATCTGCACTCTATAAGAATAAAGAATTTAAAAAAATGCTTAAAATTAGATTTTATCAATATTTTTACATAAGTTTTTTACACTCTGGAATCAAGGTTAAAAAGGCGACATTAACTATTCCCCTACCTCTAAGATAAAAATTCCTTCAAACCTCCACGTCAGATATTTTTTTGCATTTCATAAAAGTTATTTAACACTTCCTGTGTCTAATTTAGTGTTAATATACAATTCAGCTCTTTTTCTACTGTTTTCTTTAAACGTATGTCTAATAGAGAAAGCTTTTTACAAACTGAAACATCAACTTCTAAAAACTCTTCGATATTTTTTATTAAAAAAATTTATACCATCCCTTCTAATTAATGTTAAACGCGATCAATTTTACATCAAAGAGATCAACAAAACAACGATTTAGAAAAAGTTAAACGAGGATAATTAAATGGTTTCGAATTAAAGGACTAAGTTTCACCCTTCCCTCATAAAAAATTTAGAGAAAGTATATATCAATAGGAATTGTTATCTCGAGATTAGTTTCACTCCTGACATTGCTAAGCACAGGAGGCATTTATTCTGATGGAATTACAATTGTAACTTTTGTTATCGCAAAAATAGATATACAATATGGATCCTAATCTTAAATTGTAAGTCATTAACATTGTGTGTTCATTTAATATTAATTCTTTTTCAGCTTTTTTAAAATTAATGACATCTCCACAGACTCAGTAAAATGGATGTGGTATTTTTGCCTCCACCCAGCGTTTAGTTCTAAATGGGCCACCTTTTACACTTTTATAAATATTTCGTTATGTTTATTATACACGGGGTTAGCAATAAAAGGAATACTACTTTCCTACAACAGCGATATCTTTTTTATGTCAGAATGTTTACAAACTTGTATTTTAATGATCCACGTAAGTATCGTATATCACGTAATTACATAATCGACATTAAATTTCAGATAATTGGGAATGTATTAAATTTACATACTCAAAGAAAACCGTTACTTAAACTGCTTGAACAAAAATTAAAATTTTGGAAAATTGATAAAACTGACGAATCATTATTACACACAGAAAGTCTACAAAATTTTTCTTTTGTAAAGAAAACCATACGATCGTACTTCGTATTTTCGTTCTTTTCCGCAATTTTATTTGATCTGCAACCTTTTACCACAGGACTTTTACCCACAGTGTGCTATGTACCAGAAGGGTGGTTTACTTATCTGACTGTCGTTCTATGGTACCTGTCCTATGTCACCCTGATTTCGATAATAGGAACCGCTTGCCTTTTTTGTTCACTTGTGAGTTCTTTAAATGAACAATTCGAACTAGTTGGAAACAAATTTAGAGAGATGTGCAACAACAGTTTTGATAACATTTGGAAGGAGTTGGAAGCTTTGGTCGACCATCACAACTTTTTGATAAGGTTTGTAAAAAATTTGGGGATTTTGTTGTATTAACTTCCTTAATTATTTTCAGTTACTGTGACCAACTAAATACAACATTTCGTAGCATCTTTTTACTTGATTTTGTAATTTCTATAGCTTCGGCTTCCGTATCGGTTTTTATTTTCATGCAGCCGTAAGTTAACATTTTTCAACAGAGTTGGTGATAAATTTAAATGAATAGTTTTGTAGAGGTGCTTGGGCTAACAGAATAAAATTTGTAACACATTTTCTGGTTATTATTGTGGAAATTGGTTTCTACTGTGTTCCACTTGAAATTGTTACGGGGACTGTAAGTATGCTTAATAATGTCTTTGTGTTTACTTTGAACTAAAGGAAGCTTTATTAAAAAAAACTTAATATTCTAATTTTAAAATATTACATCATACCGACGTGAAACTAATTCGTTTAAAAACGTTTCAAATCAGTTACAACTAGAAAGAAATCTTTGTCTCTAAAATATCTTCAAAAATTAGATAGTTATGTAAAAAAAATCAATGGCGTCATAATAATAAGAAAACTGTGATTGTTCATGTTTATTACTCAAGGTGTTTCCAAAAACCATACGCTAGCTCTATTTTTGGACTGAATGAACTTCAGGGAACTGAAAAAGTGATTGGCCAAAGGAAAAATCTGACTGTGTGCTTCCTTAACTTGCTTATTTGAATACATACTTAATATTGAAAGTAAAAACACAACTGTTTCATTTACTTTTTTCAGGCTCTGAAAATTGATTATCTACTGTATGATTCCAAATGGTACGAAATAGATATGATTCCATTTAAGAAGTGTTTAACTGTTATTATAAGCCGAGTTCAAAAACCTATTGTATTCAGCGGTTATGGATTGATCAACATAAACCTCAACACATATGTTTTAGTAAGGTTTCATAAGAAGATTACAGGTTGTTTTAAGTTATATGTATGTTTCAGATTTGTAAAACTGTATTCAGTTTCTACACATATCTAAACTCAGTCAAGAAGCTGTCAACGAAATAATAGTAACTAAAACTAAAACATTTAATCATTATTTAGTCAGTTTGTCACTATTTAGCGAAGTCTAAGTTATGTTTCGCTTGTTGCGTAAGCAATTAGGGGGAGCCACATAGTATTACGATAACTGCTGTACAGGACATACTTACTATTAGATATGAAATTTAGAGTATTCCAGAAATTAAAATAACTCATTATTATTATTATTAAATGCACAGGTAAGAGCAAAAATGTTACAGTCCACCACACATAAAGTAATATAATTTCAAAAGTTTATGTAAATTTTAATACTCTTGCCTTTATAAAAGTAAATTTTTAAATACGTTGAAATGCAGAATCCACTAATTTTGCGAAAAAGATACGATTGGGTATATTTTCCACCTTCTGGTGTTGATTGCATGCATCTTTCGTGCATGCTCACGCATTTCGGCCAATGCACGACAATATCAGGGAGGGCAATATCAATTTTCAAAATTATTAAGTCTATGGAATAGAAACACAGGAAAGCAAACGGTCGCAAAATCTTATGCAAAGAAAAATATCTCATTGCATTGATAAGGAATTAATTACTTATTTAAAAAAAAATTCTTCAAATTCTAAATTCTAGTGAAGATGTAACATTTGTGTACTCCAACGAGATATGAGTTTACCAAAACGGTTCTACCATTCGTTGTTGGCTACACGATTCCGATTTGAAAAATAATCCCAACAAAATTACACGGGAAAGATAGAAATTACCACATAATGATAGACACTTTTTCAAAATTGGGTGGTTAATTATATTATTCCTGCTTTGAACAGTTGGACAAATTATCCAAATTTTCTATTACAAAAAGTCAAATCAAGAGTGGTTGGGTAATCACAATAATAATTTGATCAAAATTTTTCAAAAAAAAAAACTGTGTGATTTAATTCAACCTTTTAGAACTGAAGGCAGAAAACGATTTTTGACAGACAAGACATTATGCGAAAGTGGTCATGAAGTCCTTCCTTAGATTACCTTCATACCATTGTCTGTAACCCCATTGAAATGGCGCGAGAGTTTTGTAAATCCTACTACTGGGAAGCTATGAAATGTGTTAATATTGTTACGATGATCGGTGAATAAAGTCGGTGTGGATAAAACTGAGCAATTTATTTCTTAGTAACTCAAATTTACACGACTAACTGCACAGCGATTATGTACAAAATAATTCCGGCGCGAGTTTATTGGTTTCTTTCCACATTCGCTGGACTCGTCTCGACTGACTATTCTCGTTCCTGAAGGTGGCCCCTATTTAAACACATACTTCGCTACTAGACTCTCTGCGGTCGAGGTCTTTCTAAAACCCCCATCGCGACTTCCGCTTCCAGGCTTTTCTTTAGTGAACGCCGCCCTCCGCCGTCACCGACGATGAGTCGCCCATCATCGCCGCACATACTAGAAAACCCATCGGCGTCGATTTATTTCGTAAGAGTGCCCCGTCCTTAGTTCTGATCGTTCCTATCAGAAACAACAATGGTGTCACTGTCGTATTTCATGAGGCGGCCTAAGTGAACAATCTTCATTTTCGTCTTCGGCCCTTGCCGAATGGCCACCACAGTATATGGGCCTCCCCAGTCTAATGGCAACTTCGGGCAACGACCATTCCTTCTTCGGGGGTTATAAAGCCATGCCAAATGTCCTGCCTGGAACCCTACTGAGTTGTTCCTAAGATCGTAACGTGTCTTCAGTCTATCACTCGCCACTCTATTCTTGTTGTGCAGCATTTTGTGAACGCTCGGCAGCTTCTCCTGTAAGCCATCGTGGTAGCCTTTGACATTCTTCCTGTACTTGCTCCCTTTTTCGGTCACTGGGTGGTGACCCGCTACATCTCCTGCAGTTCTTCCAAAAGGCGAACCAACTTTCTGTGGTTGCATCGGCACTATCGACTTAATCTTAGGTCTTTTAACCGCCGCACAGGTCCTATAATTTTTGCACCAGCTCTCGACGTGTTCCCGGTAACGTACCCAGTAGAATCTCTCCCTGACCTTGGAAAGCTTCTTGTTGATTGCCAAATGGGCACTAGAACCTCCGTCGTGCATTTCTTGAAGTTCTTCCTTGATTCTAATAGCCGGAACCACCAACTGCAAAGTGACATGCCTTCCATCCGGACTTTCCCAGGCTCGCTTAGGAAATCCGTTCTCGACACGCAAAGAATTCCATTGAGCCAATAACGCCTTGAAAAAAGGTGCTTCGTGTGATATTTCCGACCAGCCAGGTCGTTCTATCCCATCTTCTTTCCATCTGAGGAGCGCCCCAATATCCTTGTCTCCCTCTTGGTCCTTTCTACACCGAGCTGTAGTCCATTCATCATCTTCTACGACTACTTTCTTCTTGCGGTTGAACTGTGCTTTGGGCTGCTCAACCTCGTCGCAGTGTTTGTAGTTCTGATAAGCGATCAATCTTGCAGGCTTCCCTTCAATACAACGCTGATTCAGCTTGAATTCTTCATGTCCAGGACGTAGGACTTCCTTTACTGGATCAATTGTCAATCCATGGTGGCTAATCAAATCCATTCCCAAAATGAAGTCATCTTCCCTGCTAGCCACGAGTGCCCGATGTCTGATTCTCAGCTGACCAATACAGATTTCTACCGATGCTTCGCCCATAATTGACGTCGACTCTCCAGTTACAGTTTTCAATCTGATCGTTTCGGGTATAGGTTCTACATCTTCAGCGCTCACGAATCCTTTACGTACAATTGATACCTCAGCGCCAGTATCGATGTTAATTGCTGGTGGAATTTCATAAATTTTTCCCGGTATAGTTGAACCATCACCTCTGGTGAAGCTTCTTATTTTCACTTCACTGGCGACCTTATTCGCACCAGCAGGCCCATTTCCCAAAGTATTGGTTGTTTTTGCATCTCGGTGAGATCTCTGTTGTGTGCTTCTTCTTGGAGCTGGTGACCGAGTAGAACAATTACGTTTGAAGTGTCTCTGGCGCCACGCTTCCACGCTTTGCCTACGAGACCCATTATCCTGCCATCTTCGAAAGAAGCTTAGAGATTTGCTGTAACAATTTTTCTAGTAGCTTCTCTATCTTATTGTTTTCTTCCTTCTCTCTTTCTGTTACACTGATATTGTAGCACGTTCTTGAGAAACTGTACGCCGCCTCCAGTTCTAGCACACGAATCAAGGCATGACGTCTGATACCTTGATACTTGTAAGACCTTCGGTGATGCTTCGGAGTATGTTAGACGTACCATTTTTTTGACATCTGCTTCAAATTCTTGCAGAAACTCTTCAACTTTCTACGAGGACTGTATGATAACTACCCGTGTTTGAGGACTGTGGGTACCACTGACCCAAAATTTGTATGCCATGGTCTAGTGCCATCTTTCAAATGAGGCTTGTCAAAATTTCAGTCAAATTTGTTAAGTAGTTTTGTTATATCACTTATTGAAACTTGACAATTTTGTGTTTTTTGCAAAAATGGAAAAAGAGCAGTATGGATCTGTGATTCGATTTCTTTTTTTGGATGGGAAAACGTGTGAAGAAATCAAAATCAAGTTGCAGGCAGTTTATAAGGACCAAGCACCTTCGATAACTACCATCAGATACTGGTTCAACGAATTCAAACGTGGCAGAACATCTGTTTTGGATGAAGAGCGCCCAGGTCGTCCGATTAAAGTAACTACTGAGGAAATGGTCAACAAAATCCACGATATTGTCTTAGCAGACCGTCAGGTGAAGATCAGAGAGATTGCTGAGATTCCAAACATCTCAACCGAACGTGTGCACAACATTCTTCAAGAAAAACTGGGCATCAGAAGGCTATCGGCACGATGGGTGCCGCGTTTGCTCACAGTGGAGCAAAAACGGAATTGCGTTACAACTTCGGAACATTGCTTGAATATGTTTAAGCACAATTCGAAGGAGTTTCGAAGGCGTTACGTGAGTGTTGACGAAACGTGGATACACCACTAACTCCAGAGCCAAAAAACAGTCAAAACAAGGGACTCTACCCGGCGAACGTGCGCCAAAGAAAGCGAAAACGGTTTTTTCGGCCGGAAAAGTTATGGCTACTGTTTTTTGGGATTCGCATGGCATCATTTTCATAGACTATTTGGAAAATGGCAAAACAATCACAGGGCAGTACTATGCTAGCCTATTGAGCCGATTTGATGCTGAATTAAAGATAAAACGGCCCCATTTGTCGAAAAAAAAGTTGTGTTTCACCATGATAACGCACCGGCTCACACGTCTGCAATTGCCACGGCAAAACTGGTTGAATTACGCTATGGATTACTGCTGCATCCTCCCTATTCGCCAGATTTAGCACCCTGTGACTTTTATCTATCTCCAAATCTAAAAAAATGGCTTGGAGGAAGGCGGTTTACTTCAAACGGCGAAGTAATCAATGAAACAGAGGCTTATTTTGCAGAGTTTCATAAATAATATTTTTTGAATGGGTTAAAAAAGTTAGAATATCGCTGGTCGAGGTGTATAGAGTTGAAAGGAGACTAGGTTGAGAAATAAATATACAGAATTAAAAAAAATGCTTTCTCTTTCTTAAAACGGGTACTTATCAAACAGTCCTCGTATGTTCTTGTCTTTAATCGGGCGGCAAAAACTTGGTTTAGATGTTCATCCCCAAATCACAGTTCTAGAGCAGCAGTTAAGGCACTATACATTATATTATATTGTATTATATTATTTGCTTATATCTTCGTCAGATAAGATTTGAAGTATATCTAGCGCTGCATCTCTCAGAGCTATCACCAAGGCTGTAGTTTTCTGTTCTTCTTCCCAAGAATTTGCTGTTTCTGCTGCTTCAACTGCTTCTTGTACGATGACCAAGGCGTCTGACCATCAGGGGTGGGCAGTTGATATGTTCTGTAGGCAGAAAATACATTACAAAGGCCAGTTGTTGCTGTATTTTTCATTAACTTTTAAATTTTTTTCATTTAATACTGATGCTCCATTGGGACCATTTTTCGTCCTACAGTATTTTCCACATTTTCCAAATTTGTGTCTACGTCCTTCATTTCTTCTCTGATTTCTTCTATTTCATTCTTGGTTGCCTCCACATCGTTTTGGAATATTTCAGTTAGGCTGATTTGCTTATTTACTTATTTTCACGTCCATTATTTCCATTTTTCCGTTCACTTCTGCTATTGTCGCATTCATTTTGTGATCTTTTGCGTCCATCTTTTCGTTCATTTCTTCTATTCTGGCGCCCATTTTTTCATCCATTTCTTTATTTCTTGTGTCCATCTTTTTGTCCAATTTTTCCATTTTTGCATCCATTTTCTCGTTCATTTCCTTGTTTCTTGCATCCAGTTTTTCGTCCATTTTTGCAAGCATAGCCATGATCTTTTCCTCCATTGCTGCAGTTCGAACTCTAGTTTCTTCAAAATTCTTGTCGAATCTGCCCATAGTTCGTCGTAAAATCACTTATTAATTTTAAATCCCACTCCTGACACTAGTGTTACGATAAAGGGGTGTTTAAAATCGGCGTGGGTAAAAATCAACAATTTATTTCGTACTAACCGGAATGTACACGACTAACTGCACAGCGATTATGAATGAAACAATTCCTGGGCAACTTGACTGGCTTCTCTCAACATTCACTGAACTCCACTCTCCTGCTCTCGACGGTGATTGCTGTTTGAACAGCCACGCGATCCTTCTCGAAACGCCTCCGTCACAGCTTCTAGACTTCTCTGGAGCACACACTCGCGACTTCTGCTTCCAGGCTCTTCTCCATCCGCCGTTACCTACGATGAGTCATCATGGCCGTACCTACTAGAACCCATAGACGTCGTACCGCGGCGGAGTACGGGTTTCTTTCGTAACAATATTATCAGCAAAGGTTTATTATATTTTGTCGTTAAAAAACACAAAATAATAGCATGCACAATCAAATTATAAAAAACTCTCTTGATCAAATATATTGTGATAACGTGACACTTTAGAGACCACAAGTGGTTGAAATTTGTGGCAATAACGGTTTTCTAATATAAAATGTAACACACAGCTCCAAATTCTTCTAATCCAGCTCCATTTAGCTTCACTGAAAAAAAATTGCTCTATTTTTGCATACTTATGTAACAATGTAAACATTGTTCCTGAGAGTTAACACTGGGCCCCCTTATAGTTTAGCACTTCAAAATCTAGCTCTGGACGGTTTACAGCTAGATCTATACATAACTATATACATATATCCAAAGCTGTCTCTTGTTAATCTATACTTCTATACTTATATAATAAAGCTGAAGCTTTTGTTTATTTGAACACGCTAATCTCAGAAACTGCTGGTTCAAATTCAAAAAATCTTTTTGTGTTGGATAGTCCATGTATCATATCTACATATAAGCTAATAACATCACGCTACGATCATTAGGAGCGAAGTAGCAATGAAAAATTCGGAAAAACGGGAAAATTATTCCTCCTTTGACAGCTTCCGTTGCTTACGCTGCTTAAACGGCTAAAGTTACGTAAAAATCATGTATGACGAAATTGTTCCCCTCTAAAAGTTCTAAAGAAAAGTCCCCTACAGCATATGTCTATCTTTTAAGGTCGAGTCAGTATAACCTTTTTTATGGTAATGAAATTTGTTCTAAAATAATAATGCATTATGTATAAAATTCTCGCGTCACAGTGTTTGTAACCGAACTTCTCCGAAATGAGTTGACCGATTTCTGTGAAATTTTTTAGTATATTGGGTAGGTCTGACAATAGGTTGTAAACTATTTTTTAAACCCCTAAGTGATAAGGGTGGCCCACCCTAAAAAATGTTTGTCTATTTTTTGGACAAAATTTTTTATTTTTATTTTTTTAAGATTTGGCATCAAAAAATACACATAACCCTAAATTTTCACCTTTCTACCACCAACCCCCATTTTTTAATCGTCTATAAAATAAAAATCAATTGCTGTTCCTGTTTGTCTCGCTAAGACTCAAAAACGGCTTGACCGATTTCAAAAATTTTTTATATTACGGGGATGGTTTATAAATAAAAAAATAACGATAACTCAAAAGAACAGTTAAAAAATAAAAAAATTCTAAAAATTTTGTATGGGAATCGCCACTTCGAATTAATTTCAATAGTTGGCGTTTCTGACGGACCTGTCGTCTAACTGACGTGTCATACAAAACTAATTCTTCCGTGCGATTGTGAAAAGCATTTCAAATCGTTCTTTGTTTTTTCGTAAAAAAAAACGTCGTTTATTTTAAGAAAAGTCTTGGTTAAAGTGAATTTAATTACACATTGCGAAAGTTTCTTATTCATTTTGATCCTGCCATTCTATTTACCTATATTCACTTTGTTGGTTTCGACAAAACCTCAAACTTTACCGTTATTCGAGGATTTAATTTGAAGTTTTCAATATTTTAAAATTCTCAAGACAAAATTTACAGATTTGATTGACTGTGAAAATAATTCTGTGTCGTTTTATGAAGTTCATTAAAATGACGAGAAGACGACAAGCTCACATAGGTCCACGAAGTCAACCAAATGTGCGACGAACTACCTCAGGTGCAAACCGCAATGATTTATTTCAGGGGTAATTCGGATATGGAAGTTGATCAGCGTTGTGCTCATAATCAATATAATCAAACATTGAAGCGAGAGATTGGGTGGTATGAATAAAACTGAGTGGATACTCATATTCGAAGTACGAAGTACCTACTTCATTATTACTCTTATATACTGAGCATCTACTCTATGTACTGAGTACCTACTTGGAAACATTGTATCTCCCCGGACACAAACTGAACATCTACGCGTTTTGTGAGCATTTAATCTAGAAACGAGCATCGGCGTGGCAAATAACTGAGCTGTCTGTAAAGCAGCTTAGAAAACCAGTAGGATCGTTGTAAAAGTGAATTTTAAGTAAATATGGTGACTTTCATGATCGTGGAACGTCGTCAAAAGGTGCATTCAGTTTGAAAAACACATTAGGAGCAGGAATGTCGAAAACTTTTCATGTAATTAACTTTTATTTATGCATAAATTGTGCAGTGCGTTTTTTCTAACACTGGCCATAGAGATTCCCATCTCAAGGTGTCTACCCCATACTAACTTATATTTTGGTGACTCGATTTTTGCCTTGATGGGTGAACACTGTCACTGTTGTCATTTTTTGTTGTATCGAGATGCTACTTGAGCATCAACTGTTACTTACTGAAGTATTAGTATCATCTCAAAAATCTAGAAATATTTTGATTTGATATTCGAGTAGATACTTCGTATTTCTAGTATGAGCATCTACTGAGTTTTATTTATATCAACCATTGTCAAAAAATTGATCGACCGTTTTTTCGACAGAACTTCCTTCGCACCAAAAGTATAATGAAACATATTCAGCATTTTTGAGTTGAGTCTTTTCTTCACACAATTTTGTGATGACCTAATCAACATTTACTATCAACACGTATACCACCTTGGATTGGTGCAGTGTAATACTAAAAATAACTCTATTTTATTCCCAAAATTATCTGCGAAAATCGAGTGAGCCATTCCATCAATTTTTTGGGGGGAATAAATAAATATTCTTAACAATTTACCATGCTTACAATAACTTTAAAACGTCTGCAAGATCTCAAAGTATTCATTTTTGCAACTCTTGAGTTATTCACTAAAATAAATTGACTGATCCATATATTTTTTGTCACTGTAAAAGCAAATCTAAAAAATATGAATGCAATGATAAATTACGAAAATATACTGATGATGTTTTCCACATTTTAGATAGGATTTATTCGGCAAAATCTTGAGATGACGTCTTCAAGTTTTTGGGCTTGATAAACAGATATATTTTGATTGAAAACCCACCATGTCAAACAGTAACTTCAAAACGTCTGCAATATTTCAAAATTCAGTTTTGCAATTCTTGATTCAATCAATAAAATAAATTGACTCAGTGATTAATTTTTTTGAAAAACCCCCTATAAGCAAAACTAAAAAATATGAATGGAATGATAAATCACAAGTATAGTCTCACCCTATTTTGGACATTTTAGATAGGATTCATTTGGCAAAATTTTGGGCTGACGTCATCAATTTTTTGGAGGGGATAAGTAAATATATTTTGAATAAAAATTCATTATGCTTATCATATGTTTAAAACATCTGCAAGATTTCAAAGCATTCGATTTTGCAGATTCAAAATTAAATTGTAGGGGAAACGAAGTTCACGGGATCAGCTAGTTATAATATAATTTGACAACTAAAACCATACATATATCATATTAGTTAAAAATATATAAAACATCACTTTTGTTATAAAATCTAATCAAAATTTGTATACAGGTTTTAATGTGTTCGCTTCAGTA